TTGTAGGTGGTATTGTTGGCCTTTTGCTTCCCGACGGACACCGTCATGTATGCTAATTCTCAAACGCCCCAGGCTTCGTGGCCACGACGCGGGCAATTGCAGAACCATTGTATCATGTTCCTGCTTGACAACACAACTCCAGGCTAATCAAGATCTTAAGTGATACTGCGTTTCCGCAAAAATCAGAGAGGATTGAACATCGGATACTTGCACCGGCAAAAAAAGGGAGATCGGCTTCCCATCTACCCCCCGATCCTTCTCTCGACTGAAAGCTACTCAATGAACAGGTTGTTTTGTCTCGACAGGCAGCTGAATGGGGAAATGAATTCCCTTCAGGGTTCATTTGCGCGACTCAAACTCCCTTTGCCTGCAAGTAATCATCAATTCAGATTCGATTTATTACAATGTGTAGTCCGGTTACATCAGATTTGAACCCGGCTGGTTGGCATCAATCAAACACGAACTGTTTACAAAGGCGTCTGGGATGAATGTGCAATTTTGTGTCGACAGTTTCATCGTATGTTATTTTCAGACATAGAAAAACAATGTCACCTTAGCCGATATTACAATGGATGGTTATAACTCTCATATTTTGTTTGTTTTTTCACTTAATTGGCTGTCTGAAATGAATTTGATCTCTTATCCACCACTCTCTGACCTCTACTCTCTGAGCATTTTAAGTTGAAGTCTTAATTTTGTCTTGCATTCTTCTCCCCTATTGGTTGCATCATGATTTTGATTACATTTGATATTTAAGATTTTGATTCATGGAGCAACAACAACAAACTAGTCAAGAACATTTGATTTTTTTTCTGTGATCAATTTTTAGGAGAAAGAAATTTTACTGTGCAATCATGGGGTAACAAAACAAACTCAAAAAACTAGCCAGGATCTTTTTCTTCTGTGACAATCATTTCTTTGTGAGGGTTTAGGCGCAAGTAATTTTGGGGAGTGTGTGTGATAATAAAAAAGAGACAAACATACAAAAAACTGAGTTATTGAGTCTGTGGAGGAATATTCAGGCTATCTCCAGACATAGAGGATCCAGTCATGGGATTTGGTAAGGTATGTGGATGATAGTTTTGAGTCATACCTGCCATTGACGGCATTCCCATCGCGTGTCCCTCATTTGATTGATGGGGCATGGTGCGTGGCTGTTAGAGATGGGCGCGCCGCATCCGGATATCCGTTTGGATTCGGATATCCTCTCGCCATTTCAGCGGAATCGGACATCCGCATCCGCATCCGCATACGCTGGCGGATACCCGCTGGCGCTGGCGGGTATCCGCGCGGATACCCGCGGATATCCGCCCCATTTTAAGGGGGACAGGTGTTTTTTTTTCCAAAAAAAAATGAAAGAAAAAGAAAAGGTTAGAGGCCAGCTCGTCGGGAGGAATCCCTCCCGGCGAGCTGGATTGTGTACCAGCTCGCCGGGAGGAATTCCTCCTGACAAGCTGGGATGCATACTCTCTCTTCGGGAGGGGTTTCTCTCCGACGAGAGGGTGGGTACACCAGCTCGTCGGGAGGAATC